AGTTTTAAAAGATATCGTATTAATTTGATAACATCAACAGTGAAGGCACGATAATTTGTTAACAAAGTGAAGTGACCAACGTCCGTATACACATATAGGTATGATTGTCAAAGTCAATTTTAATGTAAGTTACATATGTAGGAACCGTTTTTAATTAGGAAATAAGTGGGAAGTTAGATCAAATGACAAGCGGGATGGTGTGAAGAAATCACTAGGCTACTTACATCATTTATCATTTATCAATAGTTCAATCCTTTCATCATATTTCTTTTGATTGTTAAAGAGCACATTCGCTGTAAAATAAATTCTGCAATGGTTATTGTCACTGAACGTTCTATTCAGCAAAGTATCAGGAATGTACGTGAGCAAGTCTACAGAAGCTCACTGCGTAGATTGGAATTCAAAGAGAACGAAATGACGTCAGAGAAACAATGGATAAATATAGTAGCCAATCGGCGGTGTTGTATACGAAGGTAGTTCTTAAATTAAGGAATTCGTTCCGTAACTATGAGTATAATAATACTCATATGATGAATGAAAGCTGACATTCAATTTATATTGGTTCGGTTAACCCTGCGAGAAAAATGCTGTTCCCCGCTGCAGTTGAAATGTAGAATAACAATGCTTTTAAGATAATATGTGCGTAGAAATGTGTGTGGTATTATTAAGACATTTTAGACTTGCTCAAGTAAAATAAGGATCAGAAGGTGTTACACAAAACTTTTCAGCAAGGTTAACAAATGAGACATCGTTGTGGACACAAATTATGTACCAAAAAACCCCGAAAATCCTTAGCCTTGGGTATCGTTGATGTCGTTTTGCATGTGGATACCTTTGAAAATGCCCAGTTGTGGAATATGTGTGAAAAAGCGACAAAAGACATAAAAGTATGCCATGATTATTGAAAACGAAAAATTAACAATTCTATACTGAAATTCGAAAAGATGGACAGTGGAAAATTTATTATTCTATACTGAAATTCGAAGATTTGCATCTTTAGCCTGGGGTATCGTTGATGCCGTTTTGAATGTGAATACCTTTGAAGATGCCAGATTGTGGTATAGGTGTGAATAAGCGGCACAGGACCTATAACAATATTCCCTGGTATGTTGACAACGAACAATTAACTTTTCTATACTGAAATTGAAAAAGATGCACAGTGGTCATATTTAGCCTGAAGTATCGTTGATGCCGTTTTGCATGTGGAAATACCTTTGAAGATGCCCGGTTGTGGTATATGTGTGAAACAGTGGCGCAAGACCTATAGCAATATGCCCTGGTATGTTGAAAACCAAAATTTACGATTCTATACTGAAATTCGAAAATTGACATCTTTAGCCTGGGGTATCGTTGGACAACGCATTATTAAGTCGGATGAAGGTACATTCGCACAGGTCCCAGTAAGCTTAAATATTGACAAAATAATTAACTTAATGAGTCTGCTACGGTTTTATATTATTGTAAATAGCACAGGCCGGATACCAATTTATGATAGTTTATGATGATAAAAAACCCTTTTTTTCTGGTTGTTATTTGCAAACATGGATAGACAAATTGTAAATTCGATTATAAATGACCAGAAATACAATTGCTAATGGTAAAGATAACAAAGCAAAGCACAAATGTGAAAATCAATGGGAAAATGGGATAGACAACTTTTCCCTGATAATCTATTCCTTTTTGCCGTATTTACGTCATTCACCTTTTCTTTTCCTTTTTTCTTTTTAAAATCACTTTAGGTCCTTGAGAGAGTCGAATAGTTGTGTATATACCCATAACGTACATATTAATTATTTGTCTCACTCTCTATTTGGAATGATGATGATGATGATGTATTTAACTTAAATTAAAATTAATCCGTCTTTAACTAGTTAGAGATAGGCACGCTGCGTGAAAAATTATAACGTTGCTGAATAACGGCGTTAAAAACTCGTGTTGGTGGTAAGAAAAAATCGTTGTTGATTTACACATAAATCCATTCTTAATTTTTCATTTATGACTAGTGATGTATAAATCAATAATCTTTTAACGAAGTTTTATGTCGGTATGTCATTTCAAGGGTTTACTTTTCTATTTCTCTATAGGACTGCTACTTCTGGACGAAAAAGATAAAGCAACAAATATCAGGCAGTAAATCTTTACGTTCACTTGTGTTACCTTTAAAGAATTTAAGAAAACTTTTCTTTCCAAGGAGGCATTAAGACTCTTAAATAAAAAAATAAAAAATCTAGTTAGTGTTTCAATTAAATGAACTGCAATACGACATACCGTTGCTGAACGACGCAAATTATGATTCCACTGGGAGATAGCAATACTTACTATAACGCCAAAATAGTGGTCGGAAATATACCGTGTACAAGATGAAACGTCTATTAACGTAGTATCAGTCGTAATACTTGTAACAAATGCCTACAATGGAATGTAAAAAAAGTCATGTAGCACAACAAAAAGTGTGTATATGTTACGTTTCGATGACTAGTACGGTTTTACTCTGCCACCTTCATCAGACAAATGACCAGTGAAGCGTTTGTGCACAAAGGTGTAAATATGTACGAGTTGTCCACAAAATCGATGTCGATTCGGGTTCTCTGTAAGCGTGTGTACAATTAGTCATTACATATTTACTAAAATGTCTCAATTCAGCCACGCTGAGTTTAATACTTGATCATCGAGATAAGGGGGTTTATTGACTCTCGCATATCTATATAAATATCATTGACAAAGTAAGGATGTTTAAGAGACATACTCCTTCTTATAATATTATCATTCAGCATGCCTGTGCGGGACACATAGGTTGTAACCGGATAGGTTCGCATTATAGGATGCTGATGTCAACGGTTTTGTGTTATTCATTCTGTGGTTTTCAAACACAAAATACCATGTTAATGACATGTATAGTACTTTCCTATTTGCATTTTGCAGAATTCGAAAAGTGCTTGATGATCCATGAATCAAGCTAATATATAGTAACAATGCCATTTCCTGGGCAACATACACTTCCATACACGTCATAAACAAAGCCCCAGGGATATTGTGATAATTTTTAACAATATTCTAGAAGTGGATCAGATGTTATTCGTCCTAAAAGAATGTTTCTGAAAATGTACATTATGCATAACCAATTATACAGAAGCAACTATATATATCAAACATGTTCTGCACGATTTCCTGTATCTGTCTTCTGAATAGCTATAGACGAAACCATTTCAACATCTATGAAAATACTAGTTAATTAAAAGTGTCAGCTCTGAGTATTGCTTTTCTATACTTGTACACATGTCTAACATAAAGTTATATCATCATTAGTGTCACCATATACATTGGTAGACTAGTACACAATATCCCGATGTCTATTTGTATTTATTGAAATAAATTGTACAACACCGTGCATGAAAATATCAACGATACCCCAGATAAATCAATACTTCTTTTTCTGTACAACATATTTGATGATGATATCAGATAGTTAGCGTTTTGTTATTGTAGTGATCTTTTTTACACATTTGTCCACATTTGTCGACTTTTTGTCCACCATTTGGCCACGTTTTGTCTACATTTGTCCACGTTTTGTCCACCTTTGTTCACAATTTGACCACTTTTGTCCACGTTTTGTCCACCTTTTTCCACGTTTTGTCCACCTTTGTCCACGTTTTGTCCACATTTGTCCACGTTTTGTACACATTTGTCATCGTTTTGTCCACATTTGTCCACGTAAGTCCTCGGACGACTTTTGCAAGTGGATCATCAGTCCCAGATACGCGGGATACACATGCGTCGCTCACAATGCCAATGCGTTCGCCAACTACTTCTTGTTGGAATACATGGCGAAGCAAGGGATAACATCCAAGTCTCCCATTTTCCAGGGATGTAAACTGCTCGACATGGAGAAGGGAAAGGACGTCTCCATGAGGTTCCTAGATTCGCACTGTTTCTTACCCATGATATTGGCAGACATACCCTTTCGGACTAACGGAATTAAAGAAAGAATACTTCCAGCATCTCTTCAACACCGAAGAAAACTGCGAATACGTGGGAACATATCCGGACGCTATAGACTCGAACTTTCTAGTAGAACCGTACGACGTGAAACTGAGAAACAGAGGTTGGACGTGTGCCACCAGAAAAAAACGGACACTGGTACGTGGACAACGACAAAGTCGAGGAAGAAGACATCCTGTTTAAAACAATTTTCTTCATGGACCTGGCGAAAGTTCCCCCCGGAAGGCTATACAACGCGCGTCAACTTCTCCATGGAATCCGTAGGTTGGCTCGAGTGGGAATCAAAATCCAGGGGCATGCACGTCCAGCACGCACTAAACGGAAAAAGAAGATTGGGAGATACTACGCTGACGGATTCAGCGAATCGACGGTCACCTTGTTCGAATAAAACTCCTGCAAGTATAACGGTTGCGAGACGTGTTCCCCAACGACAGAACGAAAAACAAGATACCGCCGTTGAATCAGTCCGTCTCGGAACTCAAGTCGCTTTACGACAACAAGGTCAGATACCTCCATAGTTGCGGTTACCGAGTGATCGTGAAGTGGAACAACTGCCAGTTTAAGAAAGACAAGGAGGGAGACCCTAAACTGAGGGAATTCCTCGTCACGCTGGACCTTACGAAAAGACTCGACCCCAGGGATTCGCTTTTTGGAGGTAGGACTAAAGCCTTAAAGCTACATCACACAACGCATGGCGACGAAGAGATACGTTATGGCGATTTCACAAGTCTCTATCCTTACGTGAATAAATATTGCGAATACCCTACGGGTCACCCTCAGATAGTTACCTCCGATTTCGACCCCCTTGATCGATACTTTGGGTTGGCGAAGGTGAGGATTCTTCCGCCTCGAGGTCTTTACATACCAGTCTTACCCGTGAAGTGTAACAACAAACTGAAATTCCATCTGTTTTACAACTGCGCCGTCAAAGAAAATCATGAAAAGTGTTACTGCGCAGAAAAGGAGCGCGCCATTTTGGGAACGTGGTGAACTCCGAGCTGATGAAAGCCGTGAAAAGGGGATACATCCTACTGAAGGTGTACGAAGTGTACCACTTCCAGGACAGCATCAAGCATCTATTTAAGGAAAGCATCGACACGTTCCTAAAATACAAACAGGAGAGTAGCGACTGGTCCCGCTGGTGCGATAACGACGAAAACAATAGGGACTACGTCGAAGCGTACTATCGAAACGAGGGCATACTACTGGACCCGAGTAGAATCACACACAACCCCGGTCTAAGGTCCGTTTCCAAGCAGTAACTGAACAACTTCTGTGGAAAGTTCGCGCAGAGGTGCATGTACACGAGCTGTAGATACTTCACAGGAAGCGAACTGGCGGATTTCTACCGCTTGATTACCGACCCTCATTTCGAGATATTAGATTTTCACTTCGTCAACGGGAACCTCATATACGTCCAATACAAATCGTTCATCGAACAGTCATACGACAGAGATTTGTACCAAACTACAGATTGGTACACACTAAAAGGGTGATTGATCCTGATAGTTTAAACACGTATCCGTACGGCTTTTAAATACAAACGCTGGTTTTACTCTTTTTTTCGTTACAGGTGCTACACTTGCACGAAAATCCACGACACGCTTTACTTCGCGAAATGATTCAGGACGACAGTGAGATATTTGTAAACTTCTTATTCTCGAGAGGTAGTAAGAATCCGAATATCTACGCCAAACCGTTCAGTACAAAGACGTACTGTATAAGACATTCTCAGATTTTTGTACAGAAACCATCTCGACGTCCTGTAACAGGAAGCGGGTCCCAGTGAATTTGACATAAAAGGTGTGCTGTGTAATTGTCGTATCAAAAACAGGAAAACTTGTCATGCATACGTGGCCAGAGCAGTGTAAGTCTCAATCATTACAAAGACTTTGACCTTAAATGGTATATACAACGACAAGTGTCGATCTCCGTACGCGGCGTTAAACTGAGATCTCTTTATTGTAGTTTATTCCTTACTGACCTCTACACGTGCACTAACTGATTTTTTAGCACTTCGTTTCGGGGCAAACGCAAAAAAGGAAAACATTAAAAAGGGACTTGAACCTGTTGAACATGTCCTGTAACGAATCCAACGTTAACCTAAAACCTTCGCTAGTAAGCTTGTGCGGTCGTGCTGCATTATTGTAGCCAGTTGATTCTGAGAACATTACCAAGGGCCGCAATCTTGGATCCGCTGTATAGGATCCAAGATGGCGGATTTCCTTAGCAACAAGTTGTTGTCTGGAGCAAATATCTCATTATTTCATTTGAGACCATCATACTTTGTACGTTCAAACGTTTAAAAAGTGAAAAATCAGTCACTGTGACCTAAATTCTGACCTTTGACCGTTGTTGAAAATGCAATATAAGTGAAATAAAGCTTGCCCGGTGTTTTCCGACACAAGTTTTCACCTACAATCATCAAAGTTTGTATGCTGGTACATTTTGAGAAGGCGGAGTGTCACGTAAACAAATTTCATATGTAATTATTAAACGAGTTTGATAAATTCAATATTACATGAACACGAGTGTTAGATTCTATTTATTATCTAATTCGAGAAACATCCCTTCATAAGTGTTCTCGATACTTACGTCTCCTCTAGGATCTAGCGACGACTGACGAAAGGACGCATTGCATGCGTAATGTTTGGAGCTCTCTGCGCCACAAAATTTTGTTCCAGGAACTTCTCCCTGAAAACCGTTTAGATAAACAAACAATGATTTAGATTTATTTTCATCAAAAGGTTTTGATAGTGATCGTAACATTAATAATATTTTTTTACACTTAAAACATTCATTACGAAAATGAAAGTGACGTTACATAGTTTGACACAACGGCGCGTGCGATGTCAAGGTAAAGGTCATCACAATACACATCGAAGTCGGCACTTTTTGAAACCTTACTGGGACTGGGAGTCACGGTCACTTTCGCTAACAAGGGCGCGTTTCTTGGGAAGGGGTCATTGTTGAATGTGGACCTCGATATTTCCGACTGTCACTGAGCCGAAAAATGTTCTTTGGAATCTGTAATGAACCTTGAACACTGATGAAATTGATTGTGTTTGTGTGTGTCGGATATGTTGAAGTGAAATTTGAGCATGCAGCTGTTAAATTTGTATGGAGTATCGCTAGATATTCCAATCTTAGTTCTCGACTAAGATAACCCGATATCGCACATCCCTTAATGATTATAGACCTTATTATATTCGTTAGATTCAGAACAACTATAAAGGTCATCATCAAACTAAGAGATGAAGAACAAATCGACACTAAAAAATAGTTTTGGGACAATAAGTAAGACGGAGATTCAAGTTTCTCATGTAGAAAACCCAGTGTATGGCGATTATTCGTCAACATGGCATCGCTATACCAGCAATCCTGGTACTTACAGCAGGCATTTAAATCGGCTTGTCACACCAGGACGATAAAAAAGTCAAATGTAACCATTGAAAACAGTATTCAGCTTTAAGTCTCTTAAATGTTGTTTTTTCCAAAAATTGACAAAATAAGATTTGTTATATTAATTTATAACCAGAACATGGATTTGGACTTGAGAACGGTTTTTTGAATACAGTCCCATTTTTAATTTTGTGATAACCCTACTGTATTTTGGGTTTTGTGGCAGCATCTCGCAATTTTAATGTTGCAAATGTCTGTTTTTTGGCTCTGCTTCAAAATACAGTAGGGATATCACCATTCTAATTTAGAAAACGCTTGAATCACCGAAATAATCTACAAATTAAAATGCTTAAAATTGCGCGTATCTTTCAAAATCTAGGTCTTCGTGACGTGGAATTATGTCACTTTATTGTTTGTGACGTCATTAAAAATCAATTTCATGATGTGTCGGGTCAGTCGGGCCTGATAATCAAATGAGAAATTTGCAGACGGTATATCGTGTTAATACCGTCAAAGAATATTTCGATTGACAAATCAAATGCCGTGTTACATATCAAATAAATTAGAATTTATATTTTAAATGTACCTGTGTATGCAAATTATCTATTTTATCATTACCCGAAAATCACAAATTTTAAGTCACCGCCACAAGCGACATTTGGGGTTGTCCACAAGCTCTTATTTTGGCAGGTAACATAATGAGACGGTTGTACGCTGGTATTTCCGTCACAGAGGTAGAATCTGTTACTGCCAACAAGGTTTGTCCCAGGCTTGACTGTGGTTTCGGTCACAGTTGGCGGGGCCCCACAATCTACAACATATATCAAGCATTCGTCAAAGTTGAGATCACAAAATTCAACACATGAAGGTGGTGGCATATGGAAAGACAATCAAAGTTTCCATGCCGTATCTCCTGGAAGGAATTCAAAATATTTGGTATTTTTTACTTGGAGCTGTATCCTAATTTACTTTATCTAAGATTGAAATAGAAATAATATTAATATTGTTATGGACATATTCATTTCTAAAATATGGTTACACTGAACCTCTCGAAAGCAGTAAGAGCCGATTCACAGCGCTACAGGTAAACGATATTAGTTATAGTTTACTTTTCTTCGACATCACGTGGAATGGATTGGAAATGGTAAAACTCCCATAAAGGCCCACATCCTGTAATCCTATTTAAATATAACGAAAAAGAACTCACCTTTTCATGGCCCGTATGAAGTATGTACATAAGTACACGTGACACGTACGCACGTGACACAAGTCTTAAAGCAATATCAGAGACGTCATAACATTTAACAGAATGGACTGATCTATTTTTGAGATCCCATTCCCCGGACGACATGTGTGACACCTTTACATCTAGATATTTAGAAATAGCTGATGAGTGTATTCCTTCAAAAGAAGTCACAATCAGACCTAATGACAAACCTTGGTTTAACTCTGACATGAGATGTAAAATTAGGAAAAGAGACAGACTTCTCCATAAATATTAATCCGGTCGCACTTAACATAATTTAAACAACTTAAGGAAACAGCGAAATAGCGATAACTATCTTAAAGAATTATTTTACGCGGACATTAACAGTCTTTTAGACAATTTTTACAAATCCCAGAAATTATTGGAAACTGCAGATTAATATTATCATCTCAAACGTCTGCTAGTATACCGCCATTACGGAGTGCGACTGGAAACATAGAAATGGATGATGACATTAAGACTAACATACTTAATGACTACTTTGCTTCCATTTCTACTATCGACGATACAGACACTGATGTACCTGTTATAGAATTCATAACAGACTCGACTATCTCAGACATACCCTTTAATATTAATCATATTATTGACATACTTAAAACTTAAAAAATGGTAAAGCTGTAGGAAATTATACAATTTGCCATAATATGTTAAAGAACACCGCACTGACTGTAACTGAATGGCCCATCACATGCCTATATTACTACTAATACAGTTGCTTATCCGCTCTCTTTAATATGTCGTTCTTCTTTGGAGACTGGATATTTCCCAAGACAATGGAAGCTTGCCCTCGTGATGCCAATTTAAAGAAAAAGGAGATAAACGAGACCCCTCAAATTTACATAACTACCTTTTAGAAGTCAGGTGTTCGGCCAGTTCATTCCACCATATACCAGCTTATAGAAATATATATATAGCAACCCACCTGTTTAGTCTTTGTGATATTTCTTAGGCATTCCAACGAGTGTGGGATACGGGGCTGGAGGTGAAAATAGCTAGTTATGTAATATCGGGTAAGTTATTGGAATATATCTCAACAAGTATTTTTTGGAAACAGTAAAACCTCTGTTAAAACAACTAATGCAGTGGTTCCTCAGGGTTCAGTCTTCGGTCCGTTGTTGTTCATACTTTATATTAATGATACAAGAAATAATTTAGAAAACTTATCAAAAACGTTTTGCAAATGATACTTCTCTATTATGTTCAGATAAATCCCCACAAATATTAGAACAAAAAATTAATAATGATCTAAGAAATATTCAATTGAGGGCTGATAAATGGTTCCTGCAAAAATAGAGGATTTACTTATTTCTAAAATAGGACTAGATCAACTGATTGAAATAGATTTTAATAATATCAATTGAGATTTTGTTGATAACCATAAACATCTGGGAGTATTCATCGATGCTAACTGTAAGTGGAGCTGTCATATTGATAATATTTGTAAAAAAAAGTAGTAAAGCAATTAGGTGTTCGCTGTAAATTGAAATATACTCTGAACCGCCGTATATTAAATAAGATATATAGATCGTTTATACTCCCTATT